CCCAGCGCTGGGAGGAGGACGAGGAGGAGGAGCGGGATTAGGATGGGGGGGGGGGCCAGAGCGGGAGAGACAAGACGAGGGGAGGGTGGAGGGCGAGGGGGGGCAGTGTGAATCTGCGCAGAATGGCCCACGGGGTGTAATGCCCAACGCCTTGCCACAGGCATGAGGGAAAACAGTAGGGGAACAGCTGTGTATGTTGCGTTGGGTAGGGAAGGTCAGCTGATCTCATTTGGCGGCCAGAACCGCGGCAGCATAGACAACCGCTCTGGCCCAGGCACTCTGCGACGCCCAGAGATTGCAGTGCCGCTGTTTGATGGCATGGTGAATGCCGTACGTTTTGTGTGCATCCAAGATGGCCTCGGAGACGCTGCCGAGACAGCCAGGATGGCCCCAAGAGTGTCAAATTCACTCTCTTGGAGGCCTCTTGGGCCGTCTTAGGGGCCTTCGGGGCTGGCCCAAGAGGCCAAGGGTTCTTACAATGATATTCGGATTCTCACGGTTTCAATCTTCCGAGCGTCCGAGAATGACAAAAAGGCCCCCGCCCCAAGACCTGCCCAGGACGGCCTAACAGGGCCACAATAAAACCACAGGACGGCCCACGATAGGAGACGCCCCAAAGACGGGTCGAAAGAGGCCCAAAACGCTCCCAAGAAGCCCCGGCTTCCCCCCACAGCACGCTGGCAGACGAGTGTCCCGACAGCTTGGCTAACCTTACTAAGCAAAACGTTGGGCATAATAGGCCCAACGATTTGCTACACAGCGTTTCCATCAAAGCATGGGGCCGCGGTGACTCGCAGTCGGCATGTTCGATAATGTGTAGCGCTATTTTTACGGTGCAATAAAAGGTATGATGCACAAGGCCCGGTGGCAGCGAGAAGTGTGGGGAATACCGAGGACCCACCCAGCGGCGACGGCGACGCAAAGTGCGGCGTTCAGGGGCGACGCAGAGTGCGGCGTTCACTGGCAGTGGGGAGCGCCAAGTGTGGTGACTGCCCAGGGCCCAGCCTGGCGACGGCAACTAAAAGACGAGGCATCTGGGGCAAGCTTTAAGTCAGGCGTGTCCACCTACAGGGGGATGTTCGATGAAAAATGAAAAATTATCCCAGTGCGACCCTACCTAGGAGTTGGAACCCCTAGGAAAGCAATATTAGTAGTAACAGTAACGCTAAGCTAAAGCTAAGCTAAAGCTAAGCTAAAGCTAAGCTAAAGCTAAGCCACAGCTAAGCTAAAGTTAAGCTAAAGCTAAGCTAAAGCTAAGCTAAAGCTAAGCTACAGCTAAGCTAAAGCTAAGCTAAGCTAAAGCTAAGCTAAAGTTGAGCAACAGCGAAGCTAATGCTAAGCTACAGCTAAGCTAAAGCTAAGCTAAGCTAAGCTAAAGCTAAACTAAAGCTAAGCTAAAGCTAAGCTAAAGCTAAGCTAAAGCTAAGCTAAAGCTAAGCTACAGCTAAGCTCAAGCTAAGCTAAAGCTAAGCTAAAGCTAAGCTAAACGCTAAGCTAAACGCTAAGCGAAAAGCTAAGCGAAACGCTAAGCGAAGCGCTAAGCTAAAGCTAAGCTACAGCTAAGCTAAAGCTAAGCTAAAGCTAAGCTAAAACTAAAGCTAAAGCTAAAGCTCCCAAGGGACTGGGGGGAACCGCTCCCAGGGGGCCAGGGGAACCGCCCGGGGCGTGTTACACTGCCCGGCCCCTTTAAGCTAAGAGAGTAAGAACCCTTCTAGGCAGAGCCTAGGTAGGGAATAACTCAAAACATACTCCAAAATGGTCAAAAAGTACTCAAAAATAATCCCCCGAATGCATTTTGACTATTTTTGGATATTCCCCCTGTAGAGGGACAGGCCCGACTTAAGGCAAGCCCTACAGTCGAAACTTGGCCACAGAAAATGGGGCTTCGCCGACGGCCCCGAGCCCCATGGAGATATCCAAAACGACGAGCATCGCAAGAGGGAGAACCGAGACACGAAGAACGTAAAGTGCGCCTACAAAGCTTGCGTTGCTCTGACTCCTCGTGCCAGCCGTGCAGCACAAACAAAGAGCCATAGGTACAAACCTTATTTGAGAATCGTCCTCGCGTCGCGGACTCGATCGTCAGCTCCCCGCCGGGGAGCTACTGCCCGAACCCCTGAGGTAAAACCCACGCGCGCCACGCCAGATCGCCAACGACCGTGTCGTCTCATCAATGACATCTGACCCGAAATGGGCCACTCACCCAGCGTCGATCTGTGCGCATGAGTAGCACGCCGCCTACGAACTCTGCCGCGAGCCGCGCGCACGCAGCGAAAGCGCGACGCACACCGCACCCTCAAGAGGCAAGAACAAAGACATCGTACCGCGCCACACGCGCAGTGACATCGTGACAGCCAAAAGAAAGACGCGTGCGGCGCGTGAACGAAGAAAATGCGCGCGAAATCAGCGCGGAAGGCAAGCGTGCACACGCTCGCAAAAACAGACGCGAACCGTAGATTCCGCGAGAACGCCTCCACGGAGAACTGTGCACTCCTACCCGAAGTGCCGCTATCTAAAAAACGAGGGCAAACTCATGCGAGCCAATCCACGGTAATGCAACGCTGACGAACGGCAGAGATAAGCGAAAACAGCGCCGCGCTACCCGCGGCACCCCTTCAAAGAGAAGACCCCGACGACGAGCTGGCAACGATGCAGCATGCAAAACATACGCCATGCACTAATCGTCTGGCGTTTCGCCTCTGCGGGTGAGCCCGCCCCGACCAATGCAAGAACGCTGCGGAAGAGGAGGAGGAGGAGGAGGAGGAAGAGGAGGAGGAGGAGGAAGGAGACGGAAGAGGATGGAGAGAACGAGGAGGAGAGGAGGCACAGGAGCGGCGCCGCCAGCGGGGCGCGGTCTCGATACCTCACAGAACGGGTACCACTCCGAAAGACGGCTCCTAGCATCCCACCCTCAACGGGCAAGTTTGTTTTATCCTCGTGCCTGGGGAAATCAAGCACTGATACCGCCACTCCCCAAACCTCTCCCGGGGCGCGTTCTGACCCGGATTTCGAGGCGGACCCAGCGGTGGCGACGAGGGCCTCCCAGGAGGCCCAAAAAGGGGACAACGAGGGAAGGGCAGCGGCATCGGCACAATTCCTCCTCCGGTCTTCGCGCGCTGCCCTGCCACTCGGGGCCCGCCGCCGCAGACAGACCTCGGGAGCGGAGCCTTCGACTTCGACGCCGCTCCTCTCATCCCGCCCCTTTCCCGGCACTACTGACCCGAGCCAATGCAAGCCCCGGTCAGCCAAGTCAAGATCCTGCAGGATCCTGCACGCCGAGCCGGGCCAGTGCAGCCCTGGCACTGCAGGATCCTGCAAGATCCAGCGCTCTGGCGGACCTCCGTCTGCATTGACCCCCGTCTCAAGGCTCCCGGCTCCTCTCATCCCGTCCCGTCCCGGCCCCTCCCCCACCGTCTCTGGTGGTGGCCTCGGGGAAAGGGGAGGCCCTGCTCCAGTGCACCCAGGGGCCCGAGGCACTGGCAGGGGCAAGCAGGCACACTGGCGCGTCCAGTCTCGCCTTCTTCCCCTCTCTCCTCCCCTCCCCCTGCGAATCATGCTGCTGCTGGCCCCTCCTCAAGAGAGACCGTCGCCCAAAGACACACACAAAGGCAGGAGGCAGTTTGCGGGATCGCTCGGCGCCTCTGGCATCGCCTTCTTTCGCTTGCATATAGGCGCCGTAGAGCAATAACCTGTCCAAAGTGGCCGATGTGAGCGATACCCTTGCATCCCCCTTGACATCGCTAGTCATACCAAGCGCAATGCCGACCAAAGCGTCGCTCGCCGCCCCGTCCCACCTCCACTGCGTTCCCTCGATCTGGACATGCTACTATATCTGCTCGCTCTTCTGCTGCCTGATCCGCAAATGCATGAAAGTGCAGTGCGGCAGTGTAGAGCGCAATCACAGCTGTGGCGGGAGGAGGAAGGTATGGGCATGGCAGCGAGAAATTCAGGAGTGCGTTAGTCTGGGTGTTCGTTGAGTGTGGGGGGGGGGGGAATCCAACGTGGAGTGCAGAAACGTGCAGCACCTTTCGCGCACCGTTTGGGCCCGCAGTGGCAATTCAGAGACCGTTCAGAGCCGCTGTAGGCGTTACTGCGATCCTCAGGCTTTCCTGCGATCCTCGACCCCCCAACGTTGGCTGCCCCACCGTTACCGTCCGCCCGATTCATCACCGTAGCTATCACCATCATTGTTGTCATCAGCGGAAGGAGGAGGGTGAGGAGGAGAGGGAGGAGGAGGATGAGGATGGGGAGGATGATGATGATGATGAGGGGAAAGAAGACGAGGAGAGTTGCCCCCCCATTGCCGTGCGCCCGGTGGATCGCCGTGGGCAGAACTATCACCACCATGGGTGTCACCACCACGATCATCACCATCCGTCGCTGCTGACGAACGCCGCTCGGCACGCACAGCTTGAACGTCTCGCTGCATCATCACCACCACTATCACCTGCAAGCAACACCACCGTCATCATTGTTGTTTCCATCGTCAGTGGACTCATGCGAGAACTGCCGATACATACAGAATATAGTATGTTTGTGTATTACTGATGTGTTGGATTCGTGTAGCCAACATCGCCATCGAATTGCACCACTTGAGGTACACGGGTGCTCAGACTCCCAAAGCGACCGCAGACATTACACGGCCCAGTGGTGTCAAGCCCGTCACACGAGTCAGGAATCGGCGGCGCAGGGCACTGGCTTCCCCTGCCCAAGCTGCGGGATCATCACCGTGATCGTCGCCGCAACCTCATCACCGTGATCGTCACCATAACCATACCAACTCGGCACCATTACCATCATCATTGGCATCACCATCGTCATCATCATCACGACCGCTGTTCGTACTCACGGTTGGCAACAATGGCACTGCCCACATCAAATCACATGTCACCATCATCGTCGTCAACATCAACATCGTCGTTCTCGGAATCGGCATCGCCGTTACGTTGGAAACACCGCGTAATAATCAAGATACTCGCTTTCACTAATTACCTGCGCCACTATCTGCTCCCAATACACCTCCCTGGCCACCCCTCCCACTTGATCTCTTGAGGCGTCGAATCCTTCAACTTTCTGACTGCCTTGGCGCAACCGTTGCGCGAATGCGTCGCGCAAATGACTGCAGGGCCTCTACACAAAGATAACCAGAAACAAGCAACGACTACGTAGAGCTGAGCGCGCTTGGCGTGGCTCAATCGCTCGGCGTGTCCCCTGCTTCCGCCTCTTCCCCCCTCCTCCTCTTCCGTCCTGTCGACGACCCTCCTCCTCCCCCACACCCCCATGCCCTTTTTTTCGCCTCCTCCTCCTCCTCATCCTTGTCCTCCCCCCTCTTCCTCCTCAACATCGTGTTGCCTGGCATGGCATATGACGAATGGCATAGCCTAGCACTGCGTAGCATAGCATCTCCCACAACACTATACATACAAACGCGTATTTAGCATAGCAACGCATGGCAACATATATGTGCAATTGTCACGCATGGTGTGCCAAAATTGTATGAAGCCGGCGCGGTCCCAGGTAGGGGGACACTTTCTATGGTTCCATGGCATGGTCGCATTCCTTGGAATTGCTTGGCGTTGCTTCGCGTTGCTTGGCGTTGCTTGACGTTGCTTTGCATTTCTCGGCGTTGCTTTGCATTGCTTCGCATTGCTTGGCGTTGCTTGGCGTTGTTCGGCATTGGTTGGCGTTGATTGGCGTCGTTACTTGAACATTGTGGGGCGTTACTTGGCATCGCTTGGTATCGCTTGTTGTCGCTTGGCATTGCTTGGAATTGCTTACCATTGCTTCCGGAAGTAAGACTAAACAACTGGAGGAACTCAGTACAAAAACAAGATCAAGCAACCCCGGGATGCGGTGAAGAAACAAAACCAAACAACTCCGAGAAACGCCAGAATACAGAAATGAAACCAAATCAAACCAGGGAACCGCCACTGTAAGGAAACCAGGCCAAGCAACCCCGAGAAATGCCACTGTAAAACAAAGCTGAGGAAACCAAAAACCACTGCAAGGAAACAAAACCACGGAACCCCGAGGAGCACCACTGGAAGAAAACAAGACCAAGGAACCTCGAGCAACGCTGGCTGGCGCAGGCCTCGCACCCACTGGTTCTTCAAAATCAGATAAGAAAGCTGTAGGCAAGCCAGCATCGGGAACAGGACGCACATCTACATCATATAGTTCAGCCGAGCGGTTGTATTGTCTTCGCATGCTTGCATGTACTCGGATGCAGCAGGGCTGCTGCATCGAATTCGCCATGTACTGGTGCTGCGCTAATTGTGCAATGCTGCTGCGTTTGCACAGCTCAGCATCGCGCTTGCATTGCGTTTGCACCATGTTTGCATAAAGTTGTCTTGTACCGCATTGCTTGCGCATTGCGTTTGGAGTGTTCCTGTATTGCATGTGGATTGCGTTCCTTTTGCGCTACTGTCCAGCGCATAGCGTTCGCACTTTCTTCCCTGCTAAGTTGTTACACCTAGGGGTTATTACTTGGGTTATCAGGGACTCGCCCAATTGGGCGCCGTCGATAATTCCCGCCCGATGATATATGGCCGTTCGCGTTTAGTGCTCTGTGGCTGGTGCCCGATCCTTCGCCTGCTGGGCGCACTCGGCCATTCCCGCTCCGTGCGTGCTCCATGTCTGGTGCCCAGAGCTTGGCCTGCTAGGCGCGGTGGACCGTTCGGGCCTGGTCCTCAATGCCCGATCGCGCTTGTCGCTCTGTGGCTGTTGCCCTATGCTTGCTCTGCTCGTTGCCTTCGGTCGCTCCAGGATTACAACTACTTCTCCTTATGCGGCCATGACTAGACACACTTACTTACCCATCGGTCGGAAGAAGTGGGTCCAAGCATTCACTACGAAGGCGTTGAACATATATTGGGCTTCTACTGCCCCCCTGAAGAAGAGGAAAGAGGGAGGAAAGCTGACAACTTCTTGAGGTAGGAAGGCGACTAGCGTGCATAAGAATCTGGAATACAAATATACATAATTTCAGCGTCCGGTGAGTACGAATGTGAGGTCCAAAATATCCCGAATACTATTGTTGCGCGATCGCCTTGCCATCACACCGGGGCATGTTGTTGCCCAAGCGATTCAGTCATACAAATTCGGGGCCACACGCACACATGCACGTGCTCAGGAAGTTGGAGAGGGCGTGATCCACCGCCGCTTTACTGTGGAAAATTGCCAGCCCAGGGGTCGCCCCCCCCCCTCCGAAAATCCCCCTCCCCCCCTGCTGGAACCCCCCCCCTCCCTCCCCCCCCCTCCCCCGGCAAAACCCCCCCCTCCCCTAACCCCTCCCCCCCCCCCCCCCCCTCGAAAACCGGGGGGGTCACTACCGGTTCGAACCCCCCCCCCCCCCCCCCTGAAAACCGGGGGGGGTCACTACCGGTTCGAACCCCCCCCCCCCCCCCTACCGGTTCCAACCCCCCCCCCCCACGCACCGCCAGCAAACGACTCCCGGTCCCTACCACCGTCCGCATCACATCCCCCACTGTTGTTCCCAGCACCACTGTCCTCACCACCACTGTCCCCACTGGTTCCACCACCGTCCCTACTGTCCCCACCAGTGCCCCCACCACTGTCGCACTGTCCCCACTGTTCCCACCACTGTTCCCACCACGGTTCCACTGTCCCCACTGTCTCCACGGACCCAACCACTGCCCGACTATCCCCACTGTCCCCACTGTCCCACTGACTCCTCCGCTGTCCCACTGAGCTGTCCCACTGTTCCCACCACTGTCCCCACTGTCCCCACCATTGTCCCCACTGTACCTCTGTCCCATTGTCCCACCGCCGTCCTCGCCACCGCCTTCACCACTGTCCCCACCACCATTGTACCCTCCACTGTCCCACTGTTTCCACCTCATTCCCACTGTCCCCACACCACTGTCCCCACCACCACCGTCCCCCCCACTGTCCACTGTCCCCCCCGTTCCCACCATTGTCCCGACCACTGTCCCCACCACTACCGTCCCCACCACTGTCCCACTGTCCCAGTGTCCCCACCACTGTCCCGCTGTCCCCTCACCACTGTCCCCACCAACACCCTCCCCACCACTGTCCGCACCCCCACTCGGTTTTCGAGGGGGGGGGGTTCGAACCGGTAGTGACCCCCCCCGGTTTTCGAGGGGGGGGGGGGTTCGAACCGGTAGTGACCCCCCCCACCTTTTCATGATGAACTGGGGGGGGGGGGAGGGGTTCGAACCGGTAGTGACCCCCCCCCGGTTTTCTGGATGGGGGGGTGGGTTCGAACCGGTAGTGACCCCCCCCGGTTTTCCGCCAGCAGCGGTAGAACACGCTCTTTCGGAAGTTGGGAAGGCATCCACAGCATTTAAAGCAGCACGTTCAATTTCAATGTTGATACGTAATAAGTGGAACGTCGCGTCGGGCTGAAGCACGAAAACATTAAGCATTGTGGACGCGCGCCCATACGTGGCGCAAAATAATACCGTGCGTTTGGCCCTGGATTCTTTTCGCGGCAAAGCTGCGGCTGTGGTTCTACCTGTGCTGCTGTTGCGGCGGGTTGTGCTGGGGCGGGATGGAGGCTGTCCTGGGATTATGCTGGGGTGGGGGTTCTGCTGGGATTGTACTAGGGATTGTGCTGAGGGGCTGTACTGGCGAGTTGTACTGCGGGTTGTGCTGAGGTTGTGCTGGGGGTTTTACTGGGCTTGTGCTGAGATTCGTGTTGGCGTGTGTGCAAGTGGTTGTGCGTGGGGTCGTGCTGTGGGCTTGTGCTGAGGGGAAGTGCCTGGATTTGCGATGGAATGTACTGGGGGATGTGGTCGGGGGATGAGCCGGGGGTTGTGCCGCGGGTTGTGCCGAGGTTGTGGAGAAGGGTTGTGCTGCAGGCTATGGGAATTATGCCGAGGTGTGTGCTGGGGGTTGCGCTTGGGGTGCTGGGGCTTCTGCTTAGGGTTGTCCTCGGGATTGGAGTGGGATGTCGTGCTGGGGATTGTGCTGGTGGATTGTGCTGGGGCTTGCGCTACGGATTGTGCTTGAGGGTTGTGCAGGGGGTTGTGCTGAGGCGTGTGCTGGAGGGTTGCGGTGCGGGTCGTGCTTGGGGGTTGTGCTGGGGGCTGACCTCGGGATTGCGTTGAGATGTCGTAATGGGGGTTGTGCGGGGACTGCGCTGGAGGTTGCGCTGCGGGTCATGTCGGGTGCTTTGCTGGCGGCTCTGCTGGGGACTGTGCTCGGGGGGGTTGTACTGCGTATTGCTTTTATGGATCGCCAGCAGGCCCGTAGCACCATCATATACTTAGTGGGGGCCCGGCCTTGACCTAACCCGAGGCGGAAACAGTTCTTTTGACACGCCAAGCCCCCGACGGGGCGGATGAGCCGACGCCGACGGCGAACCTGCTCTCAACGCTCCTCGACCATGCGCATGGCGCCGACAACGTCCACAACGATTCCCTCCACACCCTTCAGAGGAACCAATCTGCCATCATACATCGCTGATCTGGCAGAACATGCATACATGCTCCATGTGATTGGGACGCCCTAGGTGAGCACAGAGGCAGCGCGCAGGATGCCAAGCAGTAAAACTCGAACGGACAGCGCCCTCGGCGGCACCGACAACGAATCCTGCTCAAAATTGGCAGGAACTGCCGTCGATCCTCTTCATCATTCTGTCCGTACCCATTTCGATCGTGCATACAGTCGGGACGTTGACCAAAGGAACCCTAAATAAGGAACGAGGCCCCTTTTTCCCATCAGCTAAAGTTCGATTTCCCATCGAAAACCTAGGAAAAACCTAAGGCAAGCTGTGAAACAATCAAGGAACACGGAGCCCCTCCCCAACGAAAAGGGTTCCTCCTTCAACACCCCGACTGTACTGTAGGTCGGCGCCGCGCCCAGGAGGGCAGGCAGAGGGGGCGGGTCTTCTAACAAGGCGGCGAGGCTTCTTGGAAGTCCTCCCGGCCTTCTGAGAAGCCCCCTCTGGCTTCGGAGAGGGCTCCGAAACCTTCTCAGAGGGCCAGAGGCGGCGAGGACGTACCGGGCACGGCCACGCAGGGGCTGTGAGGGCAGGCTGCGCTGAGGCCCGGCCCCGCCTGCTCGTCCTCGGCTGCGGCCCCCTGCTCGTCGTCCACCCTCTCATCCTTTTCTCCCTCCTTTCTCTTTCATTCCTCCCTCCCATGACGTCCCCCTCCCTCCCGTGAGCTCCATACGTTGCATTGCACCATGGAGTCCCCTGGCGCCAGAGGCCGAGGCCGCACCGTTGGCTCTGCCATATTTTGTTGCCATAACTTGCGCCATCGGTTGCGCCATCAGTTCCGCTCTATATTGCGCCATCGACGGCGCCAGAAACCGCATCCGAGCTAGGGCTATAGGTTGCTCCATATGATGCGACATAGTCTACGCCAGTGGTTGCGCCGAGGACGTTTCAGCAACATGCGCTGGATCCTCCACTGGGTTTCACCCCTCGCTGCAGCCGAAACTAACACCGCCTGCGCCCTGGTTGACCCTACAAAGAAGCTAGAGCACAAGCACGGGATCCGCATGTGGAGCATCCAGAGGTCACGCGCTGGATACGCACGTGGCCATCCATAGAGGGGCCGAGCGCTGGAAAGACATCCAGCCACGTGTGTATCCAGCTCTCGCCAAGACCCGCCGCAATAGTACGCCAGGGGATGCGCCACCATTCTCGTTGCCCCATCGGCCGTCGCAGCTTGACGACGCCTGCCTTTGCTGCTGCGTGGTGCCTGCGCCCACCGGCCGCCGACGTCTGACGCCGCCCGCTGATGGCTTCGCCGCTGGTCAGCAAGTCAGCGGAACCCGGGGTCAGCGGAATCCCGGGTCAGCCAGGGCCAAGTCGCGAACCCAGACCGGCCACGCAAGACAAGGCACGAAATGGTTGATAGCAACCACGCGCTGTCGTGGAAACGATCCGCGATAATGGGACAAATGATTATTTTCTGGGGGAATGAATGGGACCGATTATTCCGCCACCGCCACGAAGCGGGGTTCTTCGTAGTCGTCACCGCCGCCTGCTCCGTCGTTGACGTCGTCGTCGTCGTCCTCGTCATCGTCGTCGTCGTTGACGTTGACGCCGTCGTACTACTACTACTACTACTACTACTACTACTACTACTACTACTACTACTACTACTACTACTACTACTACTACTACTACTACTACTCCTACTACTACTACTACTACTACTACTGCTGCTCGTGTCACAATTACTGTTACGACAGCCGCGACGACGGGGATGAAAACAGCATCACGCGACGAAATCGTCGGCGGCGGCGCCACCACAAGCCCCCGACCCGACAAGGAGAGAGGAAAAGGAGGAGAGAGGAGAAGGATGATGAAAAAGGAGAAAGGCGTAGAAGGAGGAGAAGGAAGAGGAGGATGACGAGGAAGAGGAGGACAAGGAGGAGGAGGAAAGGGAAGGAGAGGGGAGTGAAGAGTGATGATGATGATGAGGAAGAGGAGGAAAAGAGGAGAAGAGAAGGACCGTACGAGGAGAAGGATAGAGGAGGAGGAGGAGGAGGAGGAGGAGGAGGAGGAGGAGAAGGAGGAGGAGGATGAGAAGCAGGAGCAGGAGAAGTGAGGAGGAGTGAGGAGGAGGAGGAGGAGGAGGAGAGGAGAGGAGGAGGAGGAGGAGGATGAGGATGAGATGAGGATGAGGATGATGAGGATGAGGATGAGATGAGGATGAGGATGAGGTGATGATGATGGATGATGATGATGATGATGATGATGATGATGATGATGATGATGATATGATGATGATGATGATGATGATGATGATGATGATGATGATGATGATGATGATGATGATGATGATGATGATGATGATGATGATGATGATGATGATGATCAGGAGGAGGAAGAGGAGGAGGAGGGGGAGGAGGAGGAGGGGGAGGAGGAGGAGGATAAGGATGAGGATGAGGAAGAGGATGAGGAGAAGATGAGAGGAGAAGGAGGAAGGAGAGGATGAAGAGAGAGGGGGGGAGAGAGGAGGAGAACGGGGAACGGGCACAGTCTCGTACTACAAGCCTCCTACGAAAAGGCACATGCTTCATCTCTTCTGCAAGTAGCCCAGGGAATGAGATCACAAAGTAGAAATACCCCCCCAACAATCGGGGGCGCGTAAACATGGAATAGCGATCCATGGATTTGGCGCGCGGTTGCCAAATCCATGGATCGGGGGAGGTGCCCTCCCCAAAGTGCGGCCGGTGCCGCCTCGCGTCGGCGGCGAAAATCTGCGATCTCCCATGGAAACGGGACCCGTCGCTAATCCACGCCCCCTTGATTCATGTTTGCGATCGCCTGACAATAGCCCGTACGGCGAACAGTGCTGGGAAAACAATTCGGCCGCTGGCCCCCCCTAACTCAACTGCCAAGCCAAAGCTTTTGGGGGGAGAAAGGCGCTACACCATGAGACACCTCTTGAGGTTAGCTCCCCAACACCGGGTCAGGGAAGTGTCGGCTACAGGTGGCTCCCCAACCCGTGTCAGCAAGAAGATCTCGGAAGGGATTGGTCGACCCTGTTAGCGCCGACCCTGGTTACGTTTACGTGAGCCCCGACCACGGCCGCCGAACACAAAGCCGGCTGCAAGCGAATGCTTCCCCCAAACACACACATTCGGCAAGAACCGGCATCTGGAAGCCCAGCGCTCGATGAAGGCACGTGGATGGACAGCGAAAAGCACGCCGACCCCGAACCCGCAACAGCCCGCAGAGAGCGAGATCACCGTCTGGTCGTGGTGTATCCAATGCCCCGCAGATCTCCCAGCGTGCACTTCCCCACAGAACGCGAGGCCACTGGAGGAAACATACAGGCAGCGAAGAACAACCTCCTTGACGTGGTGAGATGACACCCCGACCATACTCGGTGGCTTACACAAGCCGCCAACGAGGCTCACCATGCGGGGGAACAAACACGTGCCAATACCGCTACGAGAGCATTTTCCACATGTTTCGCGATGGCGGCCGTTACCGGCCCCGGCCGCCGCCCCCCCGCAAGAAACGTCACGACTCGCGTTCACCTCCGAGCTGTTTGGGGTTCAGACATTCCCAGACGGCGCCGGCACGGCACGTGAGGTTGGCGGCACCTCCCCCCGAGCAACGCCCGTTATCGCTGTGGATGCCACGACAATGGACGCCCTAACAGTCCTACCATTCAATTTTTAATGTGCTGAAGATGTAGGGGAAATGTTCTAAACATGGTTGAAACATGTTTAAAACATGTTTGAGGCATGTTCCTGTCATCTGGAAATTATTTGGCAACATGCTTCCTCTCCATTGATCGGCCTCCACAGCGTTATCGCCCAGGAACAAAAAAACGCTCCCTACTCCCTGGTCTCCTAAAGTGCGCTTTGACCCGAATTTCACGGAGCATCCAGCCGTGGAGACGAAGAATCTCCAGGAAGAGCATCGGCATCGGCATCATGTTCCTCCCCGGGCCACGCGGAAACGAACGTGCCCGCGCGCGACAGCTTGCGCGGGCAGCCTTAGCACCAGTGCTCACGCAGACGCTCAAGAGTGGGAATGGAGTTCTGCTGGCGGACGTTCACTGTTCAGCGACTCCGATGAGCGGTTTGCGCAGGGTGTGGTTTGCAACCCGCATCCTGAGGGGGCGGGCCAGGACCTCGACAGAGCTCTCCGCCCCGCGCAGTGGAGGCACGACGAGGGCAACGTGGACCCCCCCAAGATACGACGACGCAGATCACAAACCACCCCACGACGTAAACACACCTTTTGTAGTGGCCGAGTTGTCTCCGTAGCGCCGTGGATGCCCCCACTGCCTCCCGTGGCGCAGGCTCCAACGAAAATGGACAGGGAGAGGGAAGGCGGGAGGGCGGCGGGAAGCCAGCATCGGCCGCCTCGCGCTGGGCTTCCTCGAAGCGCTCGTTCTCGCTCTTGTACGCCTGGGCATGGAAAAAGAAATGCTACGTAAAAAAGACACTGTTGGAACTCCACGCGGATTTCCTGGATCCGCACTTGGCCCCCCATCCCTCGCGGACGGAGCGCGCCACGGACGGGGCAGGAGGCACCGCCAGGGGGGCCCAGCGCCGATCCCAGAAATCCGCGCGGAGCTCGCACAACTTATGATTGTGTAGACTGTCTTCGATTCGGCTAAAAAACCACGTTAAAGTTGGCAAAACCGTGCGCGTGTGCCATAATATGATTCTCTATAGTCTTCAGGTTTTCCGCGGCCATCATGCTGCGATCGAACAGGACATCTTCGCCGCAGCTTGCACTGCTATAAAAGGATACCATTCAATAGCATATTGCAGATATTCTGTTTGTAGCAGATTACACTGTGTCGCGGCTTACATGAAGAACTCCTCGTTGTGGCGGTTTGCGAGTTTCTACTTTCTGGCGGATTGCGAAAGGATTTGTTGTAGCGGATTGCGAACGAATCCCTTGTGTGGCGGATTACTAAGAAAGATTCCTGTTGTGGCGGAGTAAAGAAGAGTTCCCGTTGTGTGCGTTCCTGGTAGTGAGCGTGGGAGCAAACGGCAAAAAGATTACAGTGAACGTGGTGACAAATGCAGGTGCCCATTCCTAAATGCTTTGGAGCAAACATGTCAACACACCACTTTCTTGCACATGGTCGCCAACACCACTCAAACAACAAACAACATATGTTCTGGTTCGTGGATGCCACGACCCTGGGAAATCACAGTGCGTTCCAAGAGCGGCATCGGACAATGTTGTTTTTTGTTCACATGGTGTTGGACTCCAGGTGCAAGGACGTGATGCTTTATTCATATGTATGTACATGTGTGTATGGTTTTGGCATCAATATGCAATGTCATACAGTTAATGTATGTTTGCTTGGCTCAGGGTGCGTTGTCCAAAACGTTGTGTGGGGAATAACTGGGAATCCGAAATCGTGGCATGTCCATGTTTGTTGTGTTGTCCTGCTGTCACTTCGTTCACCACCAGGGATGCCCAGCAAGGAAATCGATTTGTCATCCGCCACAAGATGGATCCTTCTGCAATCCGACATTCAAGAAAACCTTCTGTAATCCGCCATACAAGAAATACCTTTGACATCTGCAACGAAAAACGTTGCATTCTGCCACGTGAAGAATCCATGTTCAACCGGCCACAAAATAATTCTTTTGCAAACCGACACAAAAGCAATCATTTTGCAAACGGCTTCGACAATAATCAATTTGTAATCTGCCACACGAAGAAATAACTCACAATTAACAAAACTAGGCATAAGAATTCAGCCGTGTTGGGCCAAGCAAATCCTTGTGCAATCTGCCACTGATGGAATCTCTGTGTAACCCGCCACAGGGAAAAAAACAAATTCTTTAGTCAAGCGCCACCCGTCACAGAAAGAACTTAGATTGCAACCCGCCGAAAAAAAAGCCTTGCTGTAAGCCAAACCAAATAATAAGTGCACAACCGGCCACAGAAGGAAATAACTTGGTTTGCAATCGTATTTAGGCAAAAATCGATCAACACTCGGCCAAGAAAGGCATCAAATCGTAAGCTGCCGCGGAAGAACCATGTGGAGACAACCACAAAACAATCAGTTCAGAGAATCCGTTCGTACCTCCACCTGAAGAATAATCATATTATGAGGCCGCCACAGAAAAAAGCCGTTGTATGGTAGTCACCCAACGAATTCTGTGGAATGGTCGCATAACGCACTACATGATCACCGGCGACAGAAAGAGCATATTGGTAAGCTAGAACAGGAGAAAAAGACTGATGTGCAAACCGCTTCGACGGAAACCGGTTGTGATTTGCCATTCAGAAAGAAAAACAACATGTATCTGCCTTACAAAGCAAAGTGTAATCCGCAACACCAAGGATTATGGATTCGGCCACGAACAGGACAAACATACACTAAAGGAAATACTATTCAAATGTATATACGCCAACACAAAAAATCACACTGCAATACGTCAAAGGATGAATCAAGTCGTAGGGCCGCCGCAGAAGGAATACATGTGTGACGCTGCCACTGAAGGAATCGATGTGGGATTTGTCCAGAAGAGACATCATTGTGTGAGGCCGCCACAGTTTATGCTGTTTGTGGACCACCACATAAGGAACTTCTTCGTAGAACTGCCACACGAGGGAGCTACCTGCAAACAAACATAACCTTACAGGAACGTCGTCTCACAAGGAATCCTAAACAAGGTCGCCGCACAAAGAAATCAGATTGCAACCCGCCGCAAGCAAAGACTCACCTGCAACGCCGACGTAGGAATCATGTAGTTTCTGACGCACCATCCAGTAACAGGAGATCCTGTTGCTTTCTGCGGCGAAGGAATCACCACCCCCTGTAGAAAGAACCCTTGGATACGTAGATTGCAATGCTGTGAAAACACTGCAGATCAACACTGCAGATCACCACTACCTTTCAAACACAGACGCCCGAAGAAACGAGTAGAGAAACAGAAGTGGTACACATACGATTTTCCCAACTCTCCCCCCACCGCGTTCTGTTCTCATCCCGGTTTCAACCTCACTGCACGCTTGCGATGCATGCTCGTCTCGGACGAGCGATCCTTACTGGTCGCCTCCTCGTCCCTCGGCGTAGGTCTCACCAACACACTCGCTGGCACGCCTGAATTTAGAGGAGCAACGGACATTCCGGGCCCCAACCCCCACATGGCCCCCTGGGGCGGGGTATAGTTGTTCGGCCTCTTTTGCGCGACATCCTCGCAATCGGGAGCCGAAGCTATCTTGACCCAGTTCCAGAGCGGGGATGCGGGGGCCAAGCGGGGCTGGAGACAAGCTTGAAATACAGTCGGACTTGATTGGAGAGGGTACGCGAGAGGACACAAGACCCTTGCGAGGGCTACATTGCCACAGGAATGTAGGAAGCATGGGTCGCGAGACACAGGACACGAGGGTACCCTTGACCTGGCAGGGTCGACCTACTAATCAGGGCCGGCTGTAGGAATGGAAAGTCCATAAAAATATCCGAAAGCTACTGCTGTCCAAAACCCACAACGGCCGCTGTTGGGCATATGCCCTTCTGTCTCAAGCGGCCAGCGCCTGCGGCGAGACAAACCACCGAATCCTGTTCACAGTGGGCTGGGAGACGTAAGACTCGAGTCTTGGGCGCTCGAAATCGCCTGACGAGCCTGTCAGAAGAACGGCCGAACGCAGCCTAACCTTCGGCGCGAACTCCCGCTGCAAACGTCTCGCGAGAACTGGACCGCCAGAGTCCATGCCAGGAGCGTCGGACAGCGGCGGCAGGCCCGAGCTCTGGCAGACTTGGGTGTTCCGCTTCCCCGGCATGGGCAGGAGCTGCAATGGCTGGGGGGAAAGAACAGTGTCAATGACACCCTGCCGTCGGCAGCCCGTCAGCGAGCCGGCGGGCCCGGCGTTCTCCGACAGCAGCACGCCGACGGGTTCCCCAAGACGGCGTGTCCCTCGTGCTGCTGTTTCCCACCCGACGAATTGAGGCTGCCAAGCTTTGCAGTCATCGGCCTGACCTCAGGAACGATAAATGGGGAACGAAGCCCCTTTTTATCCCAAGGAATAACGCATAAGGAACGATAAGTAACAAATAACGCATAAGGAACTGTAAACAACGCATGCAAACCTAAGGAACGACCGAGCCCCTTTTGAAAAGTAAGTGTTCCTTATTTAAGCCGCTCGCGTTAAGCAGGGACTTCCGACCCGCCTCGCACACCCTCCCTGCCGCGGCCGCCAGGCCTGCAGAGCGACGGTGCTCCACGGGGACCCCGCCTCGTGCCATCGACGAATGACAAGCATGCCGCGGCCGCCAGGCCCTACACCCTAGGCGATGCTTAAGAAAACTAAGTTTTCGGCCAGAGTCTCGATTATTCTTAATGTTTCAATGTAAATCCTAAGATTTTACTAGAAATTCTGGGTTATTATTCAAATTCTGAGACTCTGAATTTCTTAACCCATGATGTCTTAAGCATTTCGCAGGGTGTACGTGCCGCGGCGCTCGCTGGGTTATCCCGCCTCGCGTTCCCGCTGGAAGCAAACCAGCTGCTCCCCGAGGTTGGCCATGCCCCCACTCGTCCTGCCCCGAGTTCGGCCATGCAGACACTGGCGGCGCGCACAAGGGAGTAGGGTCAGGGTGGGGGGCTTCTTAGAAGGAGGCTGCTTCTTAGACGGCGCCCGCCTTACATCTACAGACAAGGCCAGCGCCTTTCAAGAAGCAGGGGTGCTTCAAAGAAGCTTTCCCCCCTCCCCCTGCCCCCCTCTGCGCATGGCCAAGACCAACTGCTCCCCGAGGTTGGCCATGTCCCCACTCGTCCTGTCCCGAGAACGGGGGCACCCAAAAGGTTCCGATACCGCTGCTCCCCGGACCTTTCCAGGGGTGCGTTCTGACCAGGATTTCGCAGCGAATCCAGCGGTGGCGACGAGGGCCTCCCAGGAGTCCCCCAAAAGGGGAAAACGGGCGAAGGGTAGCGGTATGGGTACCTCCCCTCCGAAGTTCGGCCCTGCAAAAAAACCCTGTCTTCGGCGGTGGACAAACCTCTCTTCAGTAAATCTCCCCTGAAAGAAAAAAAAAAAAAACGGCCTGGGACCGAAGCCGACGGACCTGGACCCGCAAAAACGACGGCCGCGCCGCCCCCCCGCGAACCGAAAACGGCCAATTCCTTAATCGACGTGTCAGGGTAGGAGGTCTATCCACCTCCGAGGTACCTCCCCCTCCGAAGTTCGGCCCTGCAGAAAAGCCCTGTCTCTGGCCTCCCGACGGGGCGGAGGCGGGACCGAAGGCGGCCTGACCCGACGGGCCCGTCGCCTCCGCCGTCTGCTTGTAGGCGTCCTGAGCCTCGGCCGGCCACGCGCACCGACGGCAGCGACCGCGGTGCAGGGCACGCTCTGAGCTGCGGGCCCGAGGTGCTTCCAGAAGACGAAGCCAGGACGAAGATAACATCGGGTGAGCACAAACAGAGAATCGCTGAGATCCAGCGGCGCTGGAGGCTGCCTCGGGCACCGCGGCCTTCTCAGAGCGTTCCGGAACGTTCTGAGAGCGTTCCGGAACGCTCTGGAGCGAGTTCATCCTCGTCCTGGCCCCGTCCGAGAAGTTGTCCTGGCCCAAGGTGCTCCGAGCTCTTCGAGCCGGTCTGGGGCCCTCTGGGCCTCGTGAGTTGAGCAGGGACCGACCGTCACGGCATTCCTATAGTCATGCCACGACATGTTCTTAGAACCCGAAGATGTTCTAATAGCAAAAACAATGTTCTTAGAACATAAGCCCGATGTGTTAAAACAACACAGTCCCAGCCAGAATTTGTCTAAAGAACATTTCGTGGGAACCACAAAAGGCTCTTAGAACACTGTTTGGTGGGGCTATAGGCGAGCCGGGACGCTTCGCCACTGCTTGAGTGAGGGGTGCGCTGGAGAGGCCAGAGGCGCCTGCTTGGGAAAGCTGGGGCCACCCCTGGCAACGACCGGCACGTGAGAGGGGGAGCGTCGGGGGGGGGGGGGGCGGCCGGGCAGCTCAAGGAGGGGGGGGGGGGGGAAACACCAAAGCTGGAATCGCAGATGGATCGGCGAGGAGTGGGCAGTTCGGTGCCGAATACTTCCCCCCCCGAGCCGATGCTCCCCTCACACTGCCCCTGAGCACAGGGCCGGCTGAACTGGTGGAGGCTTGCTGGCATGGCCCAGGTTGCCCGACGGGAGAGGGGCTGAGGGCAGGGGCGGCGGGCGGTTAAGGAGGGCATGGTACACACGACGACGGAATCAAGGGGCAGGTGGAGCAGATCTGGAGTTGGTCTGGACACGGTGGTGTCTGTCAGGAGTGGGAACCGTTGGGCCAGGAAGAGAAGGGGCTGGCGGAGGGAGCCTGGGCTGGGTGGCGAGGGTAGGGGAGATAGAGGGCCTGGAGATGACATGGGGAACCCGACGGACACGACGCAGACACGACGGACGCGACGAAGAAACGAAATAGGTCAGTGCTCATGACACCAGGGGTGGGTGCAAGAACCGGGGAGACGGGTTCGAGGGACTCGGGTTGGCCTGACAGGGCCGTCAGGAAAACGACGAGACCCAGTCTGAAGCTTTGGGCGACCTCCCGCAGCAAACACCCCACGAAAACTTGACCGGCGAAACGCAGAGCGGGCCCGTCAAGAAGCGTCGGCAGACCCGAAAGCTGGCGAGCTCGAGCTCTTCGCTGCCCCGGGAAATCATCGAGGGAGGCCTGAGCCCAGGCGGGGGCCCTGGGTGGAGCCAAATAAAGGGGCCCCAGGACAACCAGAAAAAATACACAAATAGAAAGATTCCCTTATATGTTCCCATATTTTCTGGGTTTTTGTCTTCCCCCCCACTTCCCATATTTTCCCATATTTTCCTGAGAGTGTACGATCTCTGTGTGTTTCTTTCCCTCCTGACCAAACCAGCTCACGTAGGAGGCTGATGTTCTTCAGCCCAGGCAAGTTTACTTGTATGACATGTCCCCCCTCTTCGCCGACTTGTTCAACGGCGCTGGGCCGAGAAGGCGTGCGACTCGGTTCAAACTTGCGTGAAGTCCAGATCTCCCTTCGGGCCTCGCCACGCCTGGCGGCGTGGCCGCGTTCAGCTGCCTTGACAAATCTCGTAGCCCACCCCCTTTCCCATTCCCACCCCCGCTCGTCCTATCCGACACGAGTGGCCAGGTCACGTCACCGTCGCCAACTACAACGTTTGCACACACAGAGTAGAGGAAAGCTTGGGGGCCATATCTTCGACGACAACAAATCGCAACCAAGACCACAATCACGACGACGGCAGCCGCGAAGTTCCCCAACATTAAATGCGCCATCGGACCCTGTGGGCGAGGCCCTACGGGCGGTATCCTCTGGGCGACGACGACGTGGACGAGACCCAATTGGCGGAATGTCGTGGGCGGAACCTATGGGCAAGGCCCAGGACCGTGTACACCGCAGATTCACGTCGAGATCACGTGGGCAAACGAGCGTGAAAGAAAAGAGGGTGCAGAGCAAAGAGCAGTGAGTAGAGAGTAGATAACCGTATTCGCCTTCCTATGTTCACACGTACCGCCAGCAAACAACAAAGCGCGAAGCGTTGGAATCGAACATGCTCCACACGATAATCTACGAATCGCATACGGATCACAGTCGGGCCAATAGCAAATCAAATATGGGTAAAATTCCACCAGGTGGGCTATCGGAACTTCCACAATAAAACAACGCACGCACGACAACTCCGTGTCGGCATGTGTTCGCCCACAATGTGTACCTGCCGGGTCAATGTTTTGATCTCTGCTTGCATGTCTGGCCACCCGAACCGAAATCCATCGACAGTGGATCCGCCAGAGCGGCAGATTCGAGCAAGATCAGGAATGCCCAGTCCTCCAGCACGCGTGCACTTCGACTCCAATCATATTGACTAGAAGCCATGGGAACGTATGACTCGAAGCAATCATGGACCAGTCTAGAATGCGTCTGAGTTGCGTGTACGTTGGATCAGACCGAGCTGCAATCACACAATCTCAAACATAACAACGTGCCACATGTGTAGCCAAACGCACCTGCAAAGAGGGAAGGCGTGAAGGGCTGGGATTGGAACGGGAGGGGGGAGAAGCTGCAGTGGAGGGCAAATGTCGCTGGATGGGGACTGGATGAAGGGGAAATGTCGGCGGCGCGCCGATGGGGGAGTGCGAGGGGGTAAAATTTCTTAGAAAAAGGCGGGGCTTCTCAAAAAACGTCCCACCTTCTGAGAAGTCGCCTGTGGCTCCCGGGAGGGCCCAGAGAGCTCCTCAAAGGCCAGAAGGCTTCTGAGCCTTCTGAGAAGGCCCACCCCCTCTGCATTCCCCCCTGCGCGCAAATCCGAGGAAGGGAGGGGGCGGGAAGAGAAACTGGGAAGGGGGGAGAGGGAGTGAGGAGGGGGGATGGGGAGGAGGACGGGAAAAGGAGGGGGAGGGGGAGAAAGTGGTGGGGAGGGTGAGGAAGAGCAGCGAGCTGCGAGCTTCTGCAAAGACGCGCAGACGCGAGACTAAGCGCAGGGCCCACTGACTCTTCTTCTTCCTCTGCATCCTTTGCGCAGCCGAGTGTGCGGCAATCAAGGAGAGGCAGACGCTGGACAGGATGTCAACAGTGCGAGCAGGGGGGCCATAGCGTCGAAATGCCCCAAATGGTCTTCCCTCGTCCTCCTCCTGGATCCGCATCGTGCCCCCCATATACCCCTCCTGGCTCAGTCCTTTACTTCCCTCCCTCCTCTGCCCCAGCTGCGCCATCCCCCATTCCTCATTCCTCCTCCTTCTCCTCGCTCCCTCTGCTCCTTCGGCACCTTGGGGCCATCAGATCGACGCATAATGTGTCCCAGTGTATCTTACACAAACAAATCGTGTCGTATGTGTAGGTGAAGCACAGGGCAGCCAGCGTCCACACCAGCCATGCCTTATCTCGCACGTACATATCTCGGCGGTGGGCAAACCTCCCTGTAATAAACCTCTCTTTAATGAAAACGGCCTGGGACCGAAACCGACGGACCTGGACCCGCAAAATGACGGCCGCGACGCCCTCTCGCAAACCGAAAACGGTCAATTCCTCCATCGACGTGTCAGGGTGGGAGGCCTGCCCACCCTCGACGCTGTGGGACGGTTGCTGGACGTGTTCGGCTCCTTGTCGGGCCTCCGGGGGACCTCCGGGGGGACCTCTGGGGACCCACACGGGGAGCGGGGGCCTCCTCGGGCCAGGATCCGGGGCGGGAGCAACGCTTCCCAAGACAGCCCTCCTCCCGTCCTTCTCCGCGTCGTCCTCCTGCCCTGGGGTCCTCTGATTGTGGTGCGCGGCAGCAAGCGCACAGGCGCCGCAGAGGAGGAGCGTCGTGCCCAGCACCTGGGGGGGCCCGGGCGAGCACCCCCAGTGCGCTGAGCAGCCTCTTCTCGAGCTGGGCCTCCCCTGGGAGTGCAAATCCCGCGGCCCTTTCGGGCGCAGGTGCGTCAGAACGTTTGCTCTTCCATCGGGCACACGCCAACGTGGATCGGGAAAGGTACCCCCAGAAGCATGAGGCCAATGGCGCCTCGTTTGGCGAGAGCGCTCCGATTCTGTAAGGGAGCGAGACCCGTCGCTGACTAGTCCACGAGCCTCAATCCAAGTTTGCGCCTCCTCGATTACATTCCCATTATTCCCCTTCGGGGAGGGGCTTGCCCCTCCCTTTTCCCCTCCACTTTAGAATCTTCCCCTCACCTGAGCCATGACATTCGAATGAACGGGGCGCAAGGCTAAGATACAGCACGGCAGACCAGAAAAAGCACGGCAAGCAGTGCAGACAAAACACGGCAGGCCAGCAACGCACGGCAGACCAGCACGGCAGACAAGCATAACGGCACGGCAGACCAGACTAGCTGGCACGGCAGACCAGACCAACACGGCAGACCAGCATTGCTGGCCAGAACAGCACGGCAGACCAGACCTTTCCCCGCTGGACCCCCTGGGCGGGTGGGGGCCGTGGTGGCCCTGCCCTGGGGCGTGGCCCAAGGTGGCCCGCCTGCTCCCTTTCTTTTTCTCCTAGGCTTTAGGCCCCCTCAGCTTCAGCTTCAGCTTCAGCACGGTAGACCAGACCAGCATAGCAGACCAGCACGGCAGATCAGCACGGCAGACCCGCGCGGCAGACCAGCACGGCAACATGGAGGGGTCTGGGGGGGGCCTTCTTGGGGCTCTATTGGGTATGTCTTGGGGGCGTCTTGGGGACCTCGGGGGCCAGGCCGTCTTAAGGGAGCCGTGCTGGCCTTTTCGAAATATGGAAGGGTATGGAACACCTTCTTATGGCCCCTCTGGGCCCGTCTTGGGCGTCTTGGAGGCCACGGGGGGCGTCTTGGGTTCATCCGAGGGGGCCCCTCCTGAGCCCCTCTTGGGCCATCGGGGAGCCATCTGGAGGCCCTCCTGAACCCGTCTTGGGGGCGTCTTCGGAATTTGGGCATCTGATGGGCTCTCCGCTCGTGGGCGGGTATGCGTTGCTCGGGCTTTGTTGGCGTTCCGCAACATTGAAATATCTGGGCCCTCCTTGGTGACCTCTTGGCCCGCCTTGGGACTGCAAACAACAAGGCGAATCCGCCGACCCTGTCGGTGTGTGTAAGACTCAAGACCATTTGTCGCTTGAGTCTTCGTCACCGTCGCCGCTCCCCCCTTTCCAGAGGCCCTCCTCCTCAAGCGATCCATCCAGACGGGAATCAAACAAGGTGTCAATTGATTGAAGGGATACCCCTTCCCTTTGACCCCTTCCTTGCTGGTGGGGTCGCCCAGGTAGTCCTGGGAGGCTGGTCTCGGGGAGGGTCCCTGGCTGGGGAGGAGTCCCATGAAGTCCCTGGGGGGGTCCCGGGTCGTGACCTCCCCCTGAAGGTCCCCCTGGGGACAAGGGAGACAATGGGGTGGTTTCCCTGTGGACAGGGGAACTCAGGACTCCTCCCCCCGCCTCCACCGTGTGGACAAGGGGACCACCACCACCACCCCTCCTCCCAGACCTTCCCCCTGGAGGCACCCTCACTCATATCACTCGTATCTGCTGTTGCGGGGTACTGTGCCTCAGATCCGCTCCGAGGCGGCTCCAATCGACCACGGAGTGTCCCAAGATGTCTCCCAAGAGGCCCTCCAACAGAGCCCAAGAGGCTCCTGGGAGAGCCCCAAGAAAGGCTCCAGAGCGTCGTCGTCGTCAACGCCGCCGCCGCCGTCGTCATCCTTCTTCAGGGTCGGCAGCACCGGCCGTAAGGCCTTCCGAAGCGCGTTTCGTTCATGCTTTGTTAGCTGTCCATGCTGTCAGGCCCAACACGGCCCTAGGAGTGCGCGTGAGGGCCACAGGTCACGAGACGACCCCAAGGGTGGCCCAAGAACTTCCCAGGACGGCCCAGAGAGGACCCCAAAACAGCCCTGAAGGGCCTCCGAAGGGCCGAAGACTGTCCAAAATGCCGCTGACCCCGAGAGGGCTCGGACATGTGTTTGAGCAATGTCCCAGGAGCGAAACGTCAGCCCGATACTGACTGACTAAACTGCCTCGACGTGCTTTCGGCGTCCTGCCTAACTCCTGACTGTTTTCATGCGATCGGGGTCAGGACGAGGTGTGGGGAGGGGGGCCGAGCGGGTTGGGATGTTCAAAACGGTGCGATGACAGACTTACGCACGGTCCTTCGCCGCACGTATGTGGGACCCTGCAAGCCCCAAGCGCCCGAAATGTTCTCGGAGAAGAAGGGAAGTCCCAAAACCGTGCGGCCGACCCGCATCCCAACAGGGTATGCCACAAAAAGGTACGGAGAAAACGACGTACAACAACAGCTCTTGTCCAAAACCATCAGCTGCTCATGCTGAGCAGGCAACTCGTTGTCTGAAGTGGACAACGTCCGCGCAAGGCCGACCACGAGTCCTGTTCAAAATGGGCAGGACCTGCTGTCGGTCTTCTCCCCCAAAACTTCTAGAGTTAAGTTGGGCGTGTCCCCCTACAGGGGGATTTTCGACGACAAATAAAACAAAAACGCCAAACAATACTTCAAAATTGTCACAAAAATACTAAAATAGTCCCCAGACTATTTTTGACTATTTTGGAATACTCCCCCTGTAGAGGGACAGGCCCGCCTGGAACGCTCGGGCGATCGGGCTGCGATCGGGCTGCATCTCGGGCCCCCCTGGAACGCTCTTGGCGAGGCGCCACTGATGGCAAGCATCCCGGGACGGGCAAGCCTCCGCGAAACGACAGGAGCTTCCGAGACCCACGTCTCCCGTTGCCGTCCCGATCGCACCGACCGGCTCCTCGAGAGTCGGCACCAGGATTTCCGTCGGGGTGTTCGTTTGGCGCCTCGTCTTGCTCTTCCTTTTTTCCTGCACTTCCCTGCCACCTGCCATCGCTCGGACGTCCATTCCCTGTGTTTTTTCCGGTTCCGTGCGTGGTTTTTTCGTCGAATGATCAAGGATGCTCCTCGATGGTCCTCGACGAAGGAAAAATGCACACGTCCGAGCGATGCCAGGGCCACAACGAAAAGTAAAATTCGGCCGAAGTCCAACGAAACAGCGCTTGGGCCCCGCCCCGCTTGCCGCACCGGCTTGATCATGCCGACGGGCGCGGCGGCAGCGGCAGTGTGTCCCCACGGGCCGATCCCGGGACCGGCGGCGCGCCCAGGGAGGAAGACAGGGGGAGGAGGGAGGAGGAGGAGGAGGAGGAGGAGGATGAGGGAGGGAGGAGGCAGGAGGGAGGAGGCAGGAGGGAGGAGGGAGGAGGCAGGAGGGAGAAGGAGGAGGAGGCAGGAGGAGGAGGAGGAAGAGGAGGAGGAGGAGGAGGAGGAGGAGGAGGAGGAGGAGGAGGAGGAGGAGGGATCAGTTCTGGCAGGGGGCGCGTGCCTTCTCGGAAGGGTCCGACGGCATCCGGCCTCCGGAGAGGCCTCCCGTGCCTCCTCCTCCAGAGCAACAGAGAGGGCTCCTCAGAAGGCGGGGGGGCCGAGGAGCACCGCCCGGGGGGGAGGGACCAGCTCAGGGGGGAAACATCGAGCTTCACACAGGCGATGCACCGCAGATAGATCGGCGACAGATCCCCGCTGGCGAACCGTACGTTTTTGGGCGGGGTGGCCTACCAGGACCCCCATCGGCGATGAGGGAGCGATTGGGGTCGATGCGTTGCCCCCGCCCCCGAGCCTATCCCCCTCCGTTGCTCCCTGGTTTTCGGGCCATCTCTGGCGGCCGTTCGGAACGATCTGGGCATCCCTGGACGCCTCTCGGCGAGTCGCAGCTTCCGGAGAGCATCCCGAGGCTGGAAAACCACCGAAAGCCGACGAGAACGGCTGAACACCTAGAGCCTATCCCTCCTGAGCCTATCCCCCACTAACCTTGCCCCCGAAGGGCTTCCGAGAAGCCCCGCCGCCTTCCGACAAGGCCTGCCCCCCCTCACTTCCCCCCTGGGCGCCCCGCTGATTGTCGTGGCCGGGAAACGTACCCTTCTTCACGGCCTCCCTGGTTGGGACCCTGGGCAACGATCCGATGGAAACCAAGCGTTTTTGCTGGATGCCTCGCGCGGAACCCCCGCAGCCTTCCGCCTGCCCCCTCTCGCTTCCCCTCGGCGCGCCGCCGAGTGGTGCAAAGCGCCGTTGTGAGGAGCGCCCAGAGCTGTTGCTGCTGCCGGGGCGTCCATGCTCCCGAGGGTCGCAAAGGGGGGCGTCCAAGGGGGGAGGGTCGCAAATCCTGTCCCGAGGCACCTGCGCAGACAAGGGGGGGCCAGGGATGTGCTGAACGAAGGGAAGGAGGGCATGAGATCCATCGGGGATCTTCTGACCCGGGTCAAGCCAAACCCGGGTCAGTCAGGCCTGGCAAAATCTTGCACCCAAACCCTGGTCAATGCGCCCCTGGCCCTGCAAGATCCTGCAAGATCTGGCGTTCTGGTTGACCCCCGTTTGCGGTGACCCCCGTCTCTTGAGTCCCGCATGCAAGGAGATATCATGGACCCAAACATGATGTCCAACACCCTTCCATGAGATCCGACGTTGCGAAACACGACAACATCGCGCAAATCACAACTGGAGCCCTAGACCCAAACATTCCGTGTCATTTGCGACCCGGATCGAGTTACGTGATGGTCCCGCGGCCCCAAAAAAACGCCCTTTTGTGAAAGAATGGCAACG